GCGGAAGTGAGAGTGGGTACCTGTAACGAGGAGCGGGAGACCAGTTCTTAAGAAACCTCCACGCATTGGAAAACATGGAGCATTTCATGTCTGCAGTTCAATGTGGCTGCATCTTTCAAAAAGGGTTGGGGGCTTTTTCCCTGCATTTCCCATAGCTATAGCAGCTCATTCAATCGCAAGCCACATGATCTGTACAAGTGTGAACCTGGACTAAGAATATATAATGCAGAGGCATGATTTACTATGAGGGAACCAGTACAATGGGGTGATATGCAATCAATGCTGAGTGCACAGAGGAAGGAAGTGTCTGAAAAGGCTCAGGACAGTGCTGAGATGTGTAAAAAAAAAAAAAATGAAGAAAAGATTAAAGCAATATGTTTTCAGGACATAAATATGCCTTTATTGTACACAGTGCTTTGGAAAGCTAAGGGCCTTTTCTCACTGGCCATGTCTATACAGATCAGCAAGGGACCCGTGAACAGATCCTGCTGAATTGGAGCAGAATGGAATAGATCACGTTTGTGACTTCCGTGTCTGCTCAGGATTTTCCTCCCAGAGCTTATAGGCATAGTTCACCTTTACCAAAAATGCCAAATGCAAATTAGGGACAACTTTAGATAAAAACAAGCTGTGTAGCTTTGACCAAAATGGAATAATGGCCTTGCTATAGGTGTAGGCCCTTTTCATACCTTATGAAGCCTGACTGGAAAACTCCCAGGATATTGCTAAGATAGGCCCAGCTTTTACTGTTCACCTGAGGCCTTTCTCAGATTCAAACCTCCTCATATGCACTTTCTCTCCTGATGCAGTAGCTTTGAGCTCACTCCTGCAATGGTGAACTGGAACAGCTGGGCCTTTCTTGGCAACATCCTGGGAGTTTTCCAGTCGGGCTTCATAAGGTACACCTATAGCAAGAGCATTATTCAGCTTTAGTCAGAGCTGCACAGTTTCTCTACAAACTCCCCTTCTCTGCAAAGGATGTTTTTTGGTGAAGGTGAGCAAACCCTTTATTGGACCCGTGTTAGGTCTGTGGGCACATGGATGTATATGGACACACATCCATTTATGTGATTTTACATCAGATGCTTCACATTTGTGTCTTGAAGACTGTAAAGGATGCAGACTTTTTTTATTTTTTTTACTTAAATAGATTCAGAAATAGCCTCCTGCCCATAGAATAACATTGAGCTTCTATTCAGATCCACCTGAAAAATGGTGTAGGGTAGGGGTGGGCAACTGTGGCCCTCCAGCTGTTGTAGAACTACAAATATCATGAGGCATTGCAAAACTGACAGTTACAAGCATGACTCCCAAAGGCAGAGGCATGATGGGACTTGTAGTTCACCAACAGCTGGAGGGTCACAGTTGCCCACCCCTGGTGTAGGGGAACGGTTAGGCCCTCTTAAAGCAGAAATAGTCTGCAATGCTTGCCTTTGCTTCAACAGGTTTTCTCGCTGGCATCTTTTACCCCGCTTCCTCTGGGTGCTGGGCTGCAGCCATCTTTATGAGATGACATCACCCCTGTGCATTTGCAGGAGTGCAGTCATCCCAGTACACAGGATCTGTGCCAGAATGTAAACTGAGCTGTTCTTGTGCAGATCATTTAACAGTAAACAAAGTTCCAAATGTTCCCATGGCTTTTCTGCATTGTGGCAGCTGCGCCTGTCTTTCACAAAACAGACAAGTTATGGTACCGTGGCTGACAAATGTCAGCTCAAATTGGTTCTAAAGCCTGAAGACTTTTTACTTTCATGCATTCTATGCTTAAGTCTCAGACCTCCCCTCCCTTATACTCACCTGAGCCCGATCCCAGTCCAGTGATGTGCATGAGAGCAGAAGCTCTCCTGTTTCTGTCCCTTCTCATTGGCTACAGCAGAGGGAGCTATTGGCTGCTGCAGCTTTGCCTCGGCCAGTAAAGAGACAGAGACCATTGGCTGCTGCCAGTCACAGCCAATGAAGCAGAGGCTTTATAGACACACAGAGGCAGCTCAGAAGCAAGCACACATGAGTGCCCCCAGAGCAATCGGGCATTCAGCAAGGGGGAGTGGTCTGGAGCATCAGCAGGGTACCTGTGATCAAGAGGATTGGGGCTGCTCTGTGCAGTATCACAGAGCAGGTAAGTATGGTATGTTGTAAAGAAAAAAAGTGTAGAACCTATACAATCACTTTAACCGCCTCCCGCCATATAGTAATATGACGGACGCAAGGTGGTTCTCTTGTTCTGGGAGGACGTCATATGACGTCCTCCCATTCTAAGCGTGCAGTGCGGAGATTGGCGGTGCGCTGTGTCCCTCGGACACAGCAGATCACCGATCTACAGAACGAACCGAAGATGTCGGCTCGGTCATGTGATCAGCTGTGTCCAATCACAGCTGATCACGTGTAAACAGGGAAATGCCGGTTATTGGCATTTCTATCCCCACGAGCTGTCAGCTGACAGCTTGAGAGGAGATCCAGTAATCGGCATCCCTCGGAGGGGACATGTACACAGATTATCAGAGCACTGATGATCAGTGTGCCCTGATGATCTGTGTAGCCCTAGCAGCACCACCTATCAGTGCCATCTCTCAGTGCTCATCCATGCCACCTGCCAGTGGCCATTAATGCCACATATCAGTGCCCAGCTGAACTGCCTTTCAGTGACGCCTATCAGTGCCATATGAGTGCTGCCTCTCAATGCCCATCAGTGCCACCTACCAGTGCCTCCTCATCAGTGTCCATCACTGCAGCCTCATTAGTGCACATCAGTGAAGGAGAAAAATCACTTATTTAAAAAATTTTATAACAAAAACTAAAAAAAAAACTTTTTTTTTTCAAATTTTCAGAGGTTTTTGGTTTGTTTAAGAAAAAAAAAAAAAAAGCAGAGGTGATTAAATACCACCAAATCAAAGCTCTATCTGTCACAAAAAGATAAAAATTTCATATGGGTACAGTGTTGCATGACCACGCAATTGTCATTCAAAGTGCAACAGTGCTGAAAGCTGGAAATTGGCCTGGGCAGGAAGGGGGTAAAAGTGCCCTGTAGGCTAGTGGTTAAATAGGGGTGGGAGGAATTGGGCATGGGGTTTTCCTCAACATGCTGATATAGCTATTGCCTGTGTGGAGGTGGGTACTAAAATGCCGACATTATTGTTCCTTCAGTGTGAGACAGACTGTGTTCATCTTTCCTATATATCAGTGGGACTTGGCTCCATCTGTCTCGTTCAATGCTTGCTTTCAGTACAGCCACATTTACGGCTATGTTCTCTTGCAATGCCAGTTATACTCAACAGCCCTGGTATTTCAGCAACCGTTTCTTCACCGGCAATACATTTCATTGACCTGGTCGCCAACAGTATTTTCAGTCATTTTGGCAAGCTGGTGACTGGGAATTGTCCAACCCTGGTTTAGGTAAACATGCTTCAGGGCAGAAAAGTAGTATGGAAAGACAGGGCCCTGTTGTAAAGCTTTCACTGGGAACCCTACCATTGTAAATACTTGTAAAGCACACAAAAAAAGTACTTTGGCTACAGAGTACATTTAAAGTGGTTCTAAAGGCTCAAGGTTTTCTACCTTCATGTGTTCTATGCATGAAGATAAAAAAACCTTCTGTGTGCAGCCCACCCCCAAATCCTTATCTGAGCCCCCCTCCCATCCAGTGACATTCTCGAAAGCCTCTGCTGTTTCCTCCTGATTGGCTGAGAGCAGCGGGAGCCCATTGGCTGTCAATCACAGCTAGTGAGCTAACGAGGAGAGAGTGGGGGAGGGGTTGAGCCACGGCTCTGTGTTTTACTGACCTATAGGTCAGTGGCTCAGGGATGAGCATGCAGCAGGGGAGGAGCTAGGGGATCCAAAAAGAGAATCTGGACTGCTCTGTGCAAAACCACTGCACAGAGCAGGTAAGTATATCATTCCTCTTCTTTTGTCCAGTCTGATTGCTAGAATGAAAGACTGTCTGTCCCCTGGCCAATCACCATCCTTGAAAATTTTGCAGGTGGGATTTCCTTAAAGTGATATTAAAAGCTTTTTTTTAAAAAAATTATAAACAAGTTATACTTGCCTGTTCTGTGCAGTGGTTTTGCACAGAGCAGCTCTGATCCTCTTTTTTAGGTCCCCGCTGGCACTCCTGGCCTCTCGCTCCTGCCGAGTGCCCCAAGTAGCTTGCTGTGGGGGCACCCGAGCAGGCTCCTTCTCGAGCCACTGCTCTGCATGTCCATTCACACACACACAGCTGCAACTCAACCCCGCCCCCTCTCTATTCTCATTGGCTCACTGGCTGTGATTGACAGCAGCATGAGCCACTGGCTCCCACTGCTGTCTCGGCCAATGAGGAGAGCGAGTCCCCAGAGAACCTTGGCTCTTGAGCACATCACTGGATTGCAATAGGGCCCAGGTAATTATTAGGCTGGTTGGGTGGGCTGCTGCACACAGGTTTTTTTTTTTTTTGTTTTTTTCCTTCATGCATAGAGTATTTGCAACTGCTTTAAGAACTTTGTCACCCTCCTGTTCATCTGTATTCTTCTTTCTGCTGCTTGTCTCAGAGGTAAGTGCTTGGAGCCATGGCACATGCCAGTTATCAAACAGCCACCTTCTTTCTTGCAACGTTGTTGGACCACTGCAAGGGGAGGGGGTGCCCTGGTTGACCTCACAGCTAGGCTTACAAAGCATGTAGGAATATGGTTTAAATTACTACATATACATGGTCCCTTTGCAGACAGAACACTGAAATACATTAATAGAGAGTTCCATTTTAATGCAGAGCAAGGTTTTGGTAGAAACAGGTCCTATTGGAAATAATGCATTTATTTGCTTTATGTGTTTTGCTTTACTTGAAAATGAAGCAAAATGTGTAAAAATGCATTCACTCGGAACAAATATCATAGGGCCTACATGTGTAGTGCAATTAAAACATAAGATGCATATATATGATTTTAGAATGGAGGTACGGGTGAAAAACTGTTGACCTTTTCCAGTTGTTATATTATACTAACTACATTGTGGATTTTTTTTTTGTCTTTCAGTGGGTGATTTCTCAACAAGTATCCTTCCTGTAATGCTTACAAGCAGTCTACATTTTGGTAGCTAAATTGACCCACATTTGAATTGCATGTTCAATAACTGCTAAAACAAACTTGCTGCTGTGCAGAATGGATTCTGTGAATTTCAGATATTGCATTTCATATGTTCTGCTGTGATTTTTTTTTTTTTTTTTTTTTTTCTTTTTATTACAGGTAAACTGGTTAAAAAAAAAAAAAAAGCCAGTGGTCCTTTTCAAATGCTAAATTGAGTACATTGTCTCACTGGACACATACCCAGCATCCACAGAGACATTTCTAAGTGGAAAGGGTGCTTCCACTAGACTGGTGGGTTGGAAGGGATGGAGTTTAACTATGAAGCTGGGTAAAGTCAGGTCAGTAATAAAATGATTAGGGCACAGAAAAGGATTTTTTTTGGCTAATATTGGTAAGGAATTTGCCGGTGGTGGTGGTGCTGTTTAGTAGTATTTAAAGCGGTAGTAAACCGTCACCTTTTTTTAAAAAAATAAATTTCAAGACAATGGTATAATGTGCTAGTAATACTAGCACATTATGTGAAACTTACTTTAACATGAAGCCTTCCAGTGGCGTGCTGACAGGGCTTCCATCTTCACTTGGTGCTTCTTCCTGGTTCATGGGCTCCGCAGCTCTGAAGGAACGGCATAGGCATGCTGGTCCTTCAGAGTGCATGTGCCAGTCTGTGTGCTACACAGGTGAATATCTCCTATACAGTGCACATTTAGGAGGTATTTACAGTACCTACAGGTAAGCCTTCTTATAGGCTTACCTGTAGGTACAAGAACAGACTTTACTACCACTTTAACATACAGTACAAGTTCACATCAAAAAGTAAATGCCTATATTCTCTTTGTGAGATTTTACCACTCCTTTCCTGTAGTTTCTCAAGGACAAGTCAGGGAGGATCTTTCCTCTTGGTAATTGTCTCAGTGCCAGAAGGCCCTGAAAACCTTTCTGTATTCTGTTAATAACATAAATGTTTTTGCATTTTAAATACTTGTAGAGTGGAAATTCACAGCGGAGTGATTTGCAACATAAAATAGAACTATGGGCAAAACTTTTTTTTTTTTTTTTCATTTTGGATAAAGTAAGGGAGGGTTCTAAACCCTGTAAGGTTTATTTTTGCCTTCTTTGTCCCATTGGAGAGAATTACCATCACTTCCTGTACCATAGCCAAAACAGGAAGTGAGAGCAAATCCCTGCAAATGAAAGGAATCTCTTGGGGATCATCCCCAGGTCAAGCTTTTTTTTTTTTTTTTTTTTTTTTTTTTTTTTTTTTTTTTTTTTTTGGGTAAAAGCGAACCAACACTGCTGCATTCACACCTGAGTGTAATGATTTAGTGGTGTTTTTATTTGCGTTTGAGGGTTTGTAGAAGTGTATTACTAGCGTTTGTAGAAGTGTATTACTAGCGTTTGTAGAAGTGTATTACTAGCATTTTACAGCTCGGGTCACACGTTTTCAGGCATTTCTATTGAAGTCTATAGGACCAAAAATGCTTGAAATCTGCCAAAAAAGAAGCTCATGTAGTTTGAGTGACAGACATTTTACTTCAGGCAATAGAACGCGAACAGGGGCCACTGAAATGAATGGGATTTGGCTCATTGAATGTTTTACAGCTGACAAGCTTAAAGCAGAAAATCACTCAGGTGTGAATGGGGAATAGTGTTCACCAGGATTATGCTAAGTGAGGCCTTGTCATTACTGCCTACCTTTAACCATCAGAGAAGTGAGCTTTCAAACACTACGCTCAGAGCTACTACATTAGGGGAGAGAGAGAATGTGAAGAGGTTTGAATCGTAGAAAAAGAAATCCCTGTGATGGTGGAGGTGAGCGGTAACTACTATTCCTCACCTTGAAAGCTGGGAGTGATTCAGGCTTCATGAGGTATGTAAATGCCTACACCTATGGCAAGGGCATCAGATTTGGTCAAAGCTGCAGTTTATCTACAGACACCTCTTGCCTGCGTAGGTATTTTTTTTTTTGGTGGTGAAAAATTTGAATGAACACTTTAAATAGTGGATGTGTATGACTTACGTTTTGGAAAAAAGGAAACATTAACAGTCAGTTCCTGCATACTTTTTTTTTTTTGCCTCCGGTTTATGCTGACCAGACAAAAATATTTACGTTGCATAGGGTGATTAATGGCAGGTTAGGTGTTGAGCCCCGCTCACACTTTTGCAGTGCGTGATGTGTGTTAAAATGCCGAAAACCGTATTTTTAATTTTTTTTTTTTTCTCTGTAATGCACTCTAATTTGCTTGTTTGTTACAGTTCTGTGACCCAGAATATTGAGGCTATTGAATCATTGCAGAAAAGCGTCATTACCTGGTATTTTCAGTACAGGGCGAGGAGTCCTATGAAAGATTCATTATATGATAATTCATGTTTTCATGTTACTGTGCTCTGTGTTTTTGTTCTTTCTTTTTTTTTTTTTTCCCAATAACCTTTTCCCACGAGCTTCAAACGATAAATGTGTATTTGTCATAGTAAATGGAAACTTCTGTTTTGTGTGAAAATCATCTTCCAAAATGTCAAGCTTAACTCATTGCAACCAGATTCCTCAGTTTGAAGATGTTAAATTTGAAGCAGCAAGCCTTTTATCAGAACTGTATTGCCAGGAGGTAAGTTACTTGGATGGATTCTAGTTCTGTGGAGGGTTGGATTAGACATTCCTTTAGCTTGTTGGGACCTTTACTTGCCCTCCAGAGGATTTGACCCCCCCCCCCCCCCCCTTCCTGACCAGTTCATTTGTTGCGATATGGCGCTGCGTTTTTAACTGACAATTGTGCAGTTATGCAACGCTCCACCCAAATTAAATTTATGTCCTTTTTGTCCCACAAATGGAGCTTTCTTACCGTGGTATTTGATCACGAAAACATCTCCAGTAACAAAAACTTTAAAAAAAAAATCAAATTTCATCATAAATTTAGGCCAAAATGTATTCTGCTACATGTCTGCTAAATAAAATAAATCCCAATACGTGTAAATTATTGGTTTACAAGAAAGTTATATTGTCTGCAAATGGCGGTAAATATACTGGAATTGTTTTTTTTTTTATGCTAGTAATGTTGCACTAATAATTAGCACTGACACTGTACTAATGACACTGGCAGGAAGGGGTTAACATCTGGGGCGATCAAAGACTTAACTGTGTGCTGTGTGTGTTTTACTGTGTAAGCATGCTGCTTTGTATTGCTATGCAGAGCAGTACAAAGCAGCATGCTGTAGCGGACAGGGGAGAGATCTGTATTTACATACCAGACCTCTCCATTTTCAGTGTTCCTCGGCAATCTCCGGCCGGGACCGGTGATTGACAGCTGTAGCCGCCAATTGACATGCCCCTACCTGGTACAAAATCACGTGTGTGTATATACGGGAATGCCACCCTAATAGTGGTGTGGGTATGAGGGCGTGCTGCTTTCATTTTTTTTTTTACCATTTTAAAATGCTGAAAGCATCAGTAGTGTAGTTTTGAGGGCAACATGGAGCTTGCTACTACTTACCTTCTCTTTGGACAATGGCTGTCATTCTGACCCATGTGCTTCAATACAGTGAGTATCTTACACAGAACAAGTATGCAGACATGGACTTTTGACTTTCTTCCAGGTCAAGAATTCAGAAGGCAAACCGTGAGAGAGTTAGGGTTTTAAGCGAATAGACATGGCAACCCTCATATTTCTCTTGTGAAATATTTACTAAAAAGTTTCCCCATTCTATCAAAAAACGCTTTGGATATAGACAAAGGTTAGAAACCCTTTCAGGTTTTACTGCTATCTGAGGATCCATTAGAGAGATTTTCTCTTACTTTATGTTCTGGGAGCAACCTTTTACAAGACAGGAAGGGAGGGAAAATCTGTAACAGAGAAAAGACGAACAGCTGACAGAGGTTCTAGCATTTCCTTTATAGTGGTTGTAAAGGCTCAAGGTTTTCTTATCTTCATGCATTCTAGGCATAAAGGTAAAAAAACCTGTGTGCAGCTGTGCCCCCAGACTCCTTAGTACTTACCTGAGCCCCATCGAGATTCAGTAATGTGCACGGCTGTCTCGGGTTTCTGCCTCCTCATTGGCTGAGACAGCAAGCGGGAGCCCTTGGGTCCTGCTGCTGTCAATCTCAGCAATGAGGGGAGGGGGTGGGGCATGCTGCAGTTTTGTGTGATTGGACACACGGAGCAACGGGGGCCCCCATAGCAAGCTGCTTGCTGTGGCAGCACCTAACAGAAAGGAGGAGCCAGAAGAGCCTGCGGGGGACCCGAGAAGAGGAGGATCCAGGCTTCTCTGTGCAAAACCACTGCACACAGCTGGTAAGTATAACATGTTTGTTATTTTACAAAAAAAAAGTTGATCGCTTTTAACTTAAAAAAGTGTGTGTTTTTTTAGTCTGTGTTGCAAGAGATTTCCCCTCACTTCTGTCCTGGGGACAACCTTTTTACAAGACGAGGTGAAAGAATCTCTCCATCGGAGTCGCCTATGGCAGTATACCGAACAGGAGTTCTAATCTTTCCCTAACCAAAACCAAAAACAATACACTGAATTAAGCCACCGCTCCAGCAGATGTCATTGAAATGTCATTCAATTCTATCGCTTTGTGACATTTCCATAATGTTTGGGGAAGAAAAAGGGTTACCGAGAGATGCGGTGGTCACTGCGCCTTGGCACCACTGCTTTTTTTTTTACCACACACAAGTAGCTGTGTTCTAACATACCTGCTGGTCTGAACAGGGCCTGAGTGATAAATCATTAGGGTTAAGGTCATTGCAGTAACTAATAAATGTGCCAATATCAAACTTTGTTGCAGAATTCCGTGGATGCAGCAAAGCCTCTCTTGCGTAAGGCAATCCAAATCTCCCAACAAACACCCTACTGGCATTGCAGGCTTCTCTTTCAGCTCGCTGTAAGTGACAATGTTAAGTATTGAATTTTTAACAGCATTATTTTAAGTGATACCTACTGCATTGAGTCAGCAGGTG